TGACTGACATGGTATCGATATCACCACACCTGTAAACACTACACCTAGGCTAAGATAGCAAGAGTAAACCTGACTGACGTGGTATCGATATCGTCACACTTGTAAAGACTACACCAAGGCTAAGATAGCAAGAGTGAACCTGACTGACGTGGTATCGATATCACCCCACTTGTAAACACTACACCAAGGCTGAGATAGCACGAGTGAACCTGACTGACATGGTATCGATATTAACCGACCTGTCAAACAATAGAGCCCCTAAAGATAACATATTTCCAGTACTGTACCCGTGTCCACACCTTTACTATGCTGGGTATATGGCGCTAACTATCCATTTGTAGATGCTATATTGACCCTAAAGGTGGCGTGACAATTTCACTGATAACTTTGCTTTCCAAGAACATTCCATGGTTCTAATGTTCCTCCGCGGTTTTTGTGAAAACATGGCCCCTGAAGGACAGTCGAGCGAGATCTTCTGATGGTTTACTGACGTGTTGACAGCTATGCCCCCATTAGAAGGGAGGAGGAGATGATGCTTGTGGTTGTTGTGGAGGGGGGAGGAGAAGGAGGAGGAGGTGGATTTGGTAATTGTAGTGGTTGTGGGGGAAGTGAAGGCGAGGGAAAAGGAGATGATGCTTGTGGTTGTGGGGGAAGTGAAGGCGAGGGAAAAGGAGATGATGCTTGTGGTTGTGGGGGAGGTGAAGGCGAGGGAGGAGGAGATGATGCTTGTGGTTGTGGGGGAGGTGAAGGCGAGGGAGGAGGAGATGATGCTTGTGGTTGTGGGGGAGGAGAAGGGAAGGAAGTGGAGGTGGTAGTCGTTGTGGTTGTGGGGGAGGTGAAGGCGAGGGAGGAGGAGATGATGCTTCTGGTTGTGGGGGAGGAGAAGGGAAGGAGGTGGAGGTGGTAGAAGTGGTGGTTGTGACGGTGTAGATGGAAAAAAGAGGAAGAGTAAGAAGAACCAACGAAAGAACTTTATTTTCAAAGGGTACCAAATTGGGCACGCAATTCTGTCTTAGATTCAGTCCTTCCAAACACTCACATTTCGCACAGCAATTGTCTTAGATCAATAAAGCATTCCATGTTAGTTAAACAATATGCATAATATGAATATTAAGGAAATACACAAAAGCATGGATCGTAAAATGCATGCACACGAGCACGCACACACGCACGGACGCACAAACACACACTCAGTAACTCCCCCCCCCCCCCCCCAGAAGAAAAATGCTGTTGAATGTTTAATTAGGAATCGACATCTCAGCACTCGGGACACCCCCCACAAGCGATCCGTCCCCATCTTCAGCAGCAAGCTAAGAGTTTAAATTCCGATGGTACCAGTAACTATCTGATTATATATCCGTCTCGCTTTACCCCTGTGTGTCCCCAAGAAGAAGAAGAGGAGGAGAAGAAGAAGAAGAAGAAGAAGAAGAAGAAGAAGAAGAAGAAGAAGAAGAACAACAACAACAACAACAACAACAACAAGAGGAGAAGAAAAAGAAGAAGACAAGAAGAAGAAGAAGAAGAAGAAGAAGAAGAAGAAGAAGAAGAAGAAGAAGAAGAAGAAGAAGAAGAAGAAGAAGAAGAAGAAGAAGAAGAAGAAGAACAACAACAACAACAACAACAACAACAACAACAACAACAACAACTTCAACAACAAGGAGAAGGAGGACAATAAACAGAAAAATATTACGTGCAATCGATTCTCTACCTTTGGATGTTGTTGAAGCGGCCCCTGCTAGTGGTGACGTAATTATCGTTGATGGAGAGAAGCGAACTGTTTGGTTCCTAGACGTGATGACTGACCCTGTGTCATAGTTCCTAGACGTCAGTGTTGACCCTGTGTCAGTGTTTGATCTCTGTCCCTGTGTGGCACTGATCAGGGGTATTGCTCCTGCTGTTGCAGTTGTTGATGTTGTTTCTGTCGGCGGTATTGTTGCTTTTACTGATGTTTGTGAGCTGGTTGCGATGCTGGATGCTGTCCCATCACTGAGGGTTGTGGTAGCAGCAACATCCTCTATGCTAGGTGTTGCGATGGTAGTGTTAGTCGTCAAGTTGGTTGCTGAGGTTATATCATTCAATGTCTTTTCTGCCGTGATTGTTGTAGTTTTCGTTATGTTGAACATCCAGTTAGTATCATGCGTTTTGTTGGATATTATGATGGTTGTAACATTTATCAAGTCGGATGGTAAGGTAGGATCATCTGCTATGTTTGACATGCTAACATTACTAAACTTGTTTGATGTAATGACGTTATTCGCTGTGTCAGATGTTGCTCTTGATACTGTTGATGTTATTGTTGCAGTATCATTGATTGCCTCGGTTGTTATTGTGGTAGGATATTCCGTTATGTTGGATATTCTTACAGTAATATCATGAGATGTGTAGATTATTGTTGTATCATCCGTTATGTTGAATGATTGTTTTATAGTGTCTTGTGTTGGGTGTGATTTTGCAGTTGCATATATTGTAATGTTGGACATTTCTGTGCTGGTATCATTCATTTTGTTAGATACTGTGACATCTTCATCTGTTGCACCAGACCTAGTGGTATCATTCTCCGTGTTGTAAGTGAAAGTCTCATAGGTTATGACAGAAATGATCGTATCTTTTGTTGTGTTGAATGTTTCTGCGATAGTGCTGACGGTAGTGTTTGACATTGTTGTGATTGTACCATCCGTTGAGTTAGTTTCAGGAACATCCTTTATTATACCTGACAATGATTTGGTGGTATCATCCACCGTGTTTGATGTTTGCCAGGTTGTTTCATCGTCTAATCTTGGCCAGGTTTTATCACTGATTGAAGCTGGCCAGTTTGTGTCATCGTCTGATGTTGGAACTGGTACAAAATGCGGCTCTGTACTTGGTACAGAAGTTGTGCTGTAAAAAGTTGTTAGTTGTGTGCTTAGTGCAGTTGTTGGTTTTATTGTTTGTACAACTCTTGTAATGGGTGAGGCTGTCGTTGTTGTTGGCATGGTTGTTGAAGTTGGAATGGTCATACTTGTTGGCGTTGGTGAGGTGAAAGTTGTTGGTGTAGGTGACGTGAAGGTTGTCGGTGTTGGTGACGTGACATTTACTGGTTTTAGTGATGTGACATTTGTTGGTGACGTGTCAGTTGCTGGCGTTGGTGAGGTGAAAGTTGTTGGTGTAGGTGACGTGAAGGTTGTCGGTGTTGGTGACGTGACATTTACTGGTGATGTGACATTGGTTGGTGACGTGACATTTGTTGGTGACGTGACATTTGTTGGTGACGTGTCAGTTGTTGGCGTTGGTGAGGTGAAAGTTGTTGGTGTAGGCGACGTGAAGGTTGTCGGTGTTGGTGACGTGACATTTACTGGTGATGTGACATTTGTTGGTGACGTGACATTTGTTGGTGACGTGACATTTGTTGGTGACGTGTCAGTTGTTGGCGTTGGTGAGGTGATAGTTGTTTGTGTAGGTGACGTGACAGTTGTCGGTGTTAGGGACGTGACATTTACTGGTTTTGGTAATGTGAAAATTGTTGATGTTGGTGACATGATAGTTGTTGGTGTTGGTGACGTGACATTTGGTGGTAAAGTGACTGTTGTTGGTATAGCTGACTTGACATTTGTTAATGTTAGTGATGTGTCAATTGTTGGTGTTGGTGACGTGACAGTGGTTGGTGTTTGTGACGTGTAAGTTGTTGGCGTTGGTGACGTCACAGTTGTTGGTGTAGGTGACGTGACAGTTGTTGGTGTTGGTGACGTCACAGTTGTTGGTGTTGGAATATTATCACTGGTGTTAGATGCTAAAATAGCATCCGTAGTGTTAGATGTTGGAAGAGCATCCGTGGTGTTAGATGTTGGAATAGCATCCGTGGTGTTAGATGTTGGAAGAGCATCCGTGATGTTAGATGTTGGAATAGCATACGTGGTGTTAAATGCTGGAATAGCATCCGTGGTGTTAGATGCTGGAATAGCATCCGTTGTGTTAGATGCTGGAATAGCATCCGTGGTTTTAGATGTTGGAATAGCATCCGTGGTGTTTGATGCTGGAATAGCATCCGTGGTGTTAGATGCTGGAATAGCATCCATGGTGATATATGTTGGAATAGCATCCGTGGTGTTTGATGCTGGAATAGCATCCGTGGTGTTTGATGCTGGAATAGCATCCGTGGTGTTAGATGCTGGAATAGCATCCATGGTGATAGATGTTGGAATAGCATCAGTGGTGTTTGATGCCGGAATAGCATCCGTGGTGTTTGATGCTAGAATAGCATCCGTTGTGTTAGATGTTTGAATAGCATCCGTGGTGTTAAATGCTGAAATAGCATCCGTTGTGTTAGATGTTGAAATAGCATCTGTGATATTAGATGTTAGAATAGCATCCGTGGTGTTAGATGTTGGAATAGCATCCGTGGTGTTGGATATTGGAATAGCATCCGTGGTGTTAGATGTTGGAATAGCATCAGTGGTGTTATATGTTGGAAAAGCATCCGTGGTGTTAAATGTTGGGATAGCATCCGTGGTGTTTAATGCTGGAATAGCATCTGTGGTGTTAGATGTTAGAATAGTGTCCGTTGTGTTAGATGCTGGAAAAGCTTCCGTGGTGTTAGATGCTAGAATAGCATCCATGGTGTTAGATGTTAGAATAGCATTCGTGGTGTTAGATGTTGGAATAGCATTCGTAATGTTTGATGCTGGAATAGCATCCGTGGTGTTTGATGCTGGATTAGCATACATGGTGTTAGATGTTGGAATAGCATCCGTGGTGTTAGATGCTGGAATAGCATCCGAGGTGTTAGATGCTGGAATAGCATCCGAGGTGTTAGATGTTGGAATAGCATCTGTGGTGTTAGATGTTGGAATAGCATCCGTGGTGTTTGATGCTGGAATAGCATCCGTGGTGCTGGGTGTTGTAATATTATCACTGGAGTTAGATGTTGGAATATCATTCGTGCTGTTTGGTGTTTTTACTGCTGCACTGTTAGCTGTGTCGAATAACGTAATTTTAGTAACATCAGTTATGCTTGGTTCTGTGGTATCATCAATAATGTTGGATGGTGTACTATCATCAGTTATGTTGGACGTTGTAGCATCATCAATTATGCTGGCTGTTCTAGGATTATCAATTATGCTGGATGTTGTAGTATCATCAATTATGATCTCACCAGTAATGTGTCTTATTGTAGTTAACTCATCAATTACCTCATCAGTTATGTGTGATGCTGTAGCTGATTCATCTATTATCTCATTAGTTATAAGTGATGCAGCAGTTGACTTGTCCATTATCTCATCAGTTACGTGTGTTGTTGTGGTTGACTCATCCAAGATCTCATCAGTTTTGTGTGATGCTGTAGTTGATTCATCTATTATCTCATTAGTTATAAGTGATGCAGCAGTTGACTTGTCCATTTTCTCATCAGTTACTGGTGTTGTTGTGGTTGACTCATCCAAGATCTCATCAGTTATGTGCGATGCTGAAGTTGACTCATCCATTGTATCTGATGCTCGTGCATAATGTGTTGTGTTTCTATTTTCATTAGTCACATAAATTGTCGGTGATGTTATTACCGTGATAATTTGTTCTGTAGTCTCCCCATTCAGCTCTGTGGTTGTCGTTGTTAATGCTGCCGCCGTTGCTGCTGCTGTCGGTGCAATGATTGATGCTTCTGTAGTCGGTGCAATAATCGATGGAGCAGTTGTTGGTTCAATGAGTGATGGTGCAGTTGTTGGTGCAATGTGTGATGCTTCTGTAGTCGGTGCAATGATCAATTGAGCAGTTGTTGGTTCAATGATTGATGGTGCAGTTGTTGGTGCAATGACTGTTGCTTCTGTTGTCGGTGCAATGATCGATGGAGCAGTTGTTGGTTCAATGATTGATGGTGCAGTTGTTGGTGCAATGAAAGATGCTTCTGTAGTCGGTGCAATGATTGATGGTGCAGTTGTTGGTGCAATGATTGATGGTGCAGTTGCTGGTTCAATGATTGATGGTGCAGTTGTTGGTGCAATGACTGTTGCTTCTGTAGTCGGTGCAATGATCAATTGAGCAGTTGTTGGTTCAATGATTGATGGTGCAGTTGTTGGTGCAATGATTGATGCTTCTGTAGTCGGTGCAATAATCGATGGAGCAGTTGTTGGTTCAATGATTGATGGTGCAGTTGTTGGTGCAATGAAAGATGCTTCTGTAGTCGGTGCAATGATCGATGGAGCAGTTGTTGGTTCAATGATTGATGGTGCAGTTGTTGGTGCAATGTGTGATGCTTCTGTAGTCGGTGCAATGATCGATGGAGCAGTTATTGGTTCAGTGATTGATGGTGCAGTTGTTGGTGCAATGAAAGATGCTTCTGTAGTCGGTGCAATAATCGATGGAGCAGTTGTTGGTTCAATGATTGATGGTGCAGTTGTTGGTGCAATGTGTGATGCTTCTGTAGTCGGTGCAATGATCGATGGAGCAGTTATTGGTTCAGTGATTGATGGTGCAGTTGTTGGTGCAATGATTGATGGTGCAGTTGCTGGTGCAATGACTGATGGTGCAGTTGTTGGTGCAATGATTGATGGTGCAGTTACCACTTTTGCCGGTGGTTTAATTGTTGGAGCTCTAGTTCGACTGTAGTCTGATCCTGTTGTTGCTAAAGTTGTCGCTGTTGTTGTTGGCATGGAGGTTGGTGTTGGGGTTGTCATAGATGTGGGTGTTGGACTGGTCCTAGATGTGGGTATGGGGCTGGTTCTATTAGTCGGTATTACAGTCTCACTTAGTTCTTCTGTTATGTTTTCTGTGCTGGTTTTTGTAACAATTTCTGCGGGGATTTCCGTAATCATTTCTGCGGTGATTTCCGTAATCATTTTTGCGGTGATTTCCGTATTCATTTTTGCGATGATTTCTGTAATCATTTTTGCGGTGATTTCCGTATTCATTTCTGTGGTGATTTCTGTAATCATGTCCGAGGTGATTTCCGTGGCTTCCTGTGCTGCTATTGAGGAGCTAGGATCATCCGTTAGGTGAAATTTGGGAGTGCTAGAATAGTCTGAATTATTATTGGCTGTGTTGGATATTGTTGAGGCAGTGTCATCCGTTGTGTGAGATGTCGCTTCGGTCAAATCATCCACTGGGCTAATTTCATTATGCACAATGGATTCTGTTGTGGCAATATCGTCGTTTTTAATGGATACCGTTGATGCAGTATCATCCTCTACCATAAACACTGGTGTATTTACATCATCCACTGCGTGTACAATGTTTGTTGTAGTATCATCCGTTGTGTGTAATGCAATAATACCATCCATTGTTTTGAAGACTGTAGTATCATCATGTGAACTGGAATCTTTTATCCCAGTATAGCTTGCTGCGACTGATTCTGTGTACATTGTGTTCGATGTTTCTGTTCTAGTTTCATTCATTGAGTTGGATGTTATTACATTAGCATCATCCTCTGTCCTAAGTGTCCCAAGGACACTATAAGTAGTATCCAAGGATAAAACAGTGGGTGTTTCAGGGATATTATCAGTGGTATTCATTGATAAAATACTAGATGTTTCAGAGATATTATCAGTGGTATTCATGGATGAAGCACTGGATGTCTCCGGGATAATATCAGTGGTATCCGACAATGAAACTCTGGATGTTTCAGAAATATTATCAGTAGTATCCATGGATGAAACACTGTATGTCTCAGAAATACTGTCAGTGGTATCCACTGATAAACCACTGGGTGTTTCAGGGATACTATCAGAAGTATCCATTGATGAAACACTTGATGTTTCAGAGATACTATCAGAAGTATCAAATGATGAAACACTGGATGTTTTAGAGATACCATCAGAAGTATCCATTGATGAAACACTGGATGTTTCAGAGTTACTATCAGAAGTATCCATTGATGAAACACTGAATGTTTCAGTGATACCATCGGAAGTATCCATGAATGAAGCACTGAATGTTTCAGGGATACTTTCAGTGGTATCCATTGATGAAACACTAGATGTCTCAGGAAAACTATCAGTGGTATCCATTAATGAAACACTAGATGTATCAGGGAAACTATCAGTGGTATCCATTGATGAAACACTGGATGTCTCAGGAAAACTATCAGTGGTATCCATTGATAAAACACTGGATGTCTCAGGGATACTATCAGTGGTATCCATTGATGAAACACTAGATGTATCAGGGAAACTATCAGTGGTATCCATGGATGAAACACTAGATGTATCAGGGAAACTATCAGTGGTATCCATTAATGAAACACTAGATGTATCAGGGAAACTACCAGTGGTATCCATTAACGAAACACTAGATGTATCAGGAAAACTACCAGTGGTATCCATTAATGAAACACTAGATGTATCAGGGAAACTACCAGTGGTATCCATTAATGAAACACTAGATGTATCAGGGAAACTACCAGTGGTATCCATTAATGAAACACTAGATGTATCAGGGAAACTACCAGTGGTATCCATGGATGAAACACTAGATGTCTCAGGAAAACTATCAGTGGTATCCATTGATGAAACACTGGATATCTCAGGGAAACTATCAGTGGTATCCATTGATGAAACACTGGATATCTCAGGGAAACTATCAGTGGTATCCATTGATGAAACACTGGATATCCCAGGGAAACTATTAGTGGTATCCATTGATGAAACACTAGATATCTCGGGGAAACTATCAGTGATATCCATGGATGAAACACTAGATGTATCAGGGAAACTACCAGTGGTATCCATTAATGAAACACTAGATGTATCAGGGAAACTACCAGTGGTATCCATTAATGAAACACTAGATGTATCAGGGAAACTATCAGTGGTATCCATTGATGAAACACTGAATGTCTCATGGAAACTATCATCGGTATCCATGGATGAAAAACTGGATATCTCAGGGAAACTATCAGTGGTATCCATGGATGAAACACTAGATGTCTCAGAGAAACTATCAGAATTATCCATTGATGAAACACTGAATATCCCAGGGATACTATCAGTGGTATCCGCTGATGAAACCCTAGATGTCTCAGGGAAACTATCAGTGGTATCCATGGATAAAACACTGGATGTCTCAGGAATACTATCAATGGTATCCATGTATGCAACATTGGATTTCTCAGGGATTACATCAGTAGTATCCAGTCGTGAAACACTATATGTCTCAGGGCTACTATCAGTGGTATCCATGGATGAAACACTATATGTCTCAGGGCTACTATCAGTGGTATCCATGGATGAAACACTATATGTCTCAGGGCTACTATCAGTGGTATCCATGGATGAAACACTATATGTCTCAGGGCTACTATCAGTGGTATCCATGGATGAAACACTATATGTCTCAGGGCTACTATCAGTGGTATCCATGGATGAAACACTATATGTCTCAGGGCTACTATCAGTGGTATCTAACAATGAAAGTCTTGATGGTAAAGGCATACTATTAGTAGAGGCCATGGATGAAACACTGGATATTTCAGGGATACTTTCAGTAGTATCCATGGATGGTGCACTGGATGTCTCAATGATACTATCTGTGGTATCTAATAGTGAAACTCTAGATGTTTCAGGAATACTAACAGTGATATCCAAGGATGAAACACTGGATGTCTCAGAAATATTATTAGTAGTTTCCATCAGTGAAGCACTTGCTGTCTCAGTGATACTAACAGTGAAATCCATGGATGAAACACTGGATGTCTCAGAAATATTATCAGTGGTATCCATTGATGAAACACTGGATGTCTCAGAAATATTATCAGTGGTATCCATTGATGAAACACTGGATGTCTCAGGGATACTCTCAGTGGTATCCTTCGACAAAACACTAGATGTTTCAGGGATACTATCAGTAGTATCCATGGATAAAACACTGGATGTCCCGGGGATACTGTCAGTGGTATCCATTGATAAAACACTGGATGTCTCATGGATACTTTCAGTAGTATCCATGGATAAAACACTGGATGTCTCAGGAATACTGTCTGTTGTGTCAGCTAAGAATAATGTGGTCTGATGAAACAGGGATGTCGTTGTGTTGCTGTTAT